CTTCATAGTTGAATACCCGATCAGGTATTCATTAAATCTGTGAATTCAGGTAAGTTGTACACATACTCGAGATGTAGTAGTGTGTTGACACATACTCGAGATGTAGTAGTGTGTTGTACACATACTCGAGATGTAGTAGTGTGTTGTACACATACTCGAGATTTAGTAGTGTGTTGTCGTGCAATCAACCACCCTGTCCCATTTCAAGACAACAGGGTATGTTTAGGAAAGTTCTAAAAAAATGGTTTGCAGAGGTCAACGAATTTTTAAAATTTAGTAGATTATTAAAATAATCCATGTTTTAAAACGTTTCTGAGATTAATGTGTTGTTTTAATATGAATAACGCACTCAATTTTTCATATATTTGTACCGACTGTATGTTAAGTTGGGATATTTATTATTGCTTGGAGAACAGATTTATTAGATTTATGTGTGCTTGTTGATTATTTGCGACGTATACAGCTATACATGTCTGATATAACGGACTTTTAATTTTGTTATCTCTAGAATCTTTCAAGGACCTTAATTTAAAAGCCACGGAATTGGGCAAAGAAGTAATAGACATGAAAAAGAAGCAGGATACAATGGATCAACTGATCACTTCGTTTACTGAAAAACAAAAAACGTCCATCGCAAATGTCGAGGTGAGATGTGACAAACTGGACTTCCAGATAAAAGAACTTGCCCAAGACCTGGATAGTAGATGTTTGCAAGTAAGAGAGATTTTGGAAGGTAGGGTTTAATGTTTCTGCTGAAAGCATGACATTTAATATTGTTAGTGACTTCATTTTTCGCTTATATGATTAAAGAATAATTATTATTGCAATTAATAATTAGTTTTGACTTACGTAATTAGATAAGTGTTGTTACTTTAAGGTCTACTCCGATAGTGTTCTTTTAAATTTCCACTAGACTACCTGCTATCCTTGGATAACTGGTTTTTGGGGGAGGGGGGTCATCCATAAGCGACGACACGGCTGTTTAACGATTTCTATTTTTCTCCTCCCCTCCCTACTGCTACAAATTCTCCCAAAATACCAGACCATGCATTTAAAAAAACATCACAGCTCAGGCAACATGTTTTTGTCTTTTAAAACACCGATTTCGTCTAAGCATGGGTCTGACCACACTATCCCTTCATATGCTGAGTTAACAGAACCAGGTGAACTCTACTTCACTGCCCGTGTCCCCCCTTGTCTCTACAGGCAACTTTATCTTACACATCTAACAAGAAGTCCCACATCAGCTTTCATGTTTTTATCTCTTAAAAACATTAATTTATTTCTATATTCTCTGATCTCGAACCTCATTTGAATAACAAATGAATAAATGATTAAAGCTAACGCCAAACTAATAATAATAAATTTGAACTGCTGCACTATATTGTCATTGTCTTGTTAGTGATTGTTATGTCACTTGTATTATGCATATCATGGTTACGCCCCTTGAGTGTTCACCATGTCATGTTCATATGTACAGTGCTTCTTGCAGCTTTTTTCTCCGGAGAGTCACTTAAGTTTTCAGGAGGGGTCTAAAATTTCCGGGGAAGGGCGGACACCGTAAAAAGTATATATTTTCTATGTACATTCCATTTCATTCGGGGGGGGGGGGGAGGTCCTCGAATAGATGCCTGGAAGAAACTCTGGATATGTAGTTGATGTGTACATGTAGTCAGTTAACGAAAAGTAGTCAGAGACAGGACGTGTGGTCTGATCTCGTTTATATAAGAATAAACTATTAGAGTTAACTCAAAGAAAATTGTCTGTTTAGGTAGTTGAACGGGAACAAATTGCGTGTGTTGTTATTTCCCACTGTGCAATATTATATAGCATGTTTAAGGCCTTAAATAGTTTAGCAAAGAAACTAAATTATTTACTTTGTTATTGGCCTAAATTAGATTCAAGATCTATAATATACATAGAATCTGCGGACAGACGAAAATGACTAATCTAATTTATTGATACATTCCTTGTATACTCGAATTAGATGATCTGTGAAGCTTAACAGCAAATATTTATATCAATTATTTAAGGACTAAAATAGATTAATACAACAACTCAATTATTCATTGTGTTTTTATGATTAGTTTATAACTGATTAGTTTTTGTTCTACTTATCTTCCTTCGACAGCTTATCTGTAGATCTAGATAAATTTATTGTATACAGAAATAGAAGAATTGTTCAACGTATCCTACTGATTGATGATAGTGTTCGAACTTAATAAAAATAACAAATAGGCATACCGTTCAAGCTAACGTCGACAGAAAATTTAGCTTTATAATGCGTTTTCGAATGTGCAACATGGTCTTCCATGGAAACCGCCATGTTTGTTGTAAAAATAATTAAATAAAGTATTTGTAACTTTTATAATTAAACAGATGTTTCTACAAATGAATATATCAATACATTAATTATCTTCTTTAAATAAATTTGTGTAAAACTTGGGCAAAACAAATTATTATTATCTACATTGATATGTATTTTACATTTCTAAATAAAGTGCAGATGCTATCATCTAACGGAACAGACAAACACAAAAATAAAATAAAACAAATAAATATACAAACTGTCTGCTTTGAGTAGTATATATATATGAGGTTCAAAGGTTTTCTTAAAGTTTACACGTAGATATTGCAATAATATTTTCTGTTTATAAGTTTTTCACGTACATCTTACATATTTATATTTGTCTAATGTATTTGACTTTTTATTCTGTTATCTCTAGATTCATTAGAGGACCTTGATTTGAAGACCACGGAATCGGGCAAAGAAGTAATAGAAATAAAAAAGAAGCAGGATAAAATGGAACAAATGATCACTTCGTTTACTGAAAAACAAGAAACGTCCATCGCAAATGTCGAGGTGAGATGTGACAAACTGGATTTCCAGATAAAAGAACTTGCCCAAGACCTGGATAGTAGATGTTTGCAAGTCAGAGAGACTTTGGAAGGTAGGGTTTAATGTTTCTTCTGAAAGCATGACATATAATATTGTTAGTGACTTCATTTTTCGCTTATATGATTAAAGAATAATTATTATTGCTATTAATAATTAGTTTTGACTTACGTAATTAGATAAGTGTTGTTACCTTAAGGTCTACTCCGATAGTGTTCTTTTAAATTTCCACTAGACTACCTGCTATCCTTGGATGACTGGGTTTTGGGGGAGGGGGGTCATCCATAAACGACGACACGTTTAACGATTTCTATTTTTCTCCTCCCCTCCCTACTGCTACAAATTCTCCCAAAATACCAGACCATGCATTTACAAAGACATCACAGCTCAGGCAACATGTTTTTGTCTTTTAAAACACCGATTTCGTCTAAGCATGGGTCTGACCACACTATCCCTTCATATGCTGAGTTAACAGAACCAGGTGAACTCTACTTCACTGCCCGTGTCCCCCCTTGTCTCGAAAGGCAAGTTTATCTTACACATCTAACAAGAAGTCACACATCAGCTTTCATGTTTTTATCTCTTAAAAACATCAATTTATTTCTATATTCTCTGATCTCGAACCTCATTTGAATAACAAATGAATAAATGATTAAAGCTAACGCCAAACTAATAATAATAAATTTGAACAAATGAATATATCAATACATTAATTAGCTTCTTTACATAAATGTGTGTAAAATTTGGGCAAAGCAAATTATTATTATCTACATTGATATGTATTTTACATTTCTAAATAAAGTGCAGATGCTATCATCTAACGGAACAGACAAACACAAAAATAAAATAAAACAAATAAATATACAAACTGTCTGCTTTGAGTAGTATATATATATGAGGTTCAAAGGTTTTCTTAAAGTTTACACATAGATATTGCAATAATATTTTCTGTTTATAAGTTTTTCACGTACATCTTACATATTTATATATTTCTAATGTATTTAACTTTTTATTCTGTTATCTCTAGATTCATTAAAGGACCTTGATTTGAAGACCACGGAATCAGGCAAAGAAGTAATAGAGATAAAAAAGAAGCAGGATAAAATGGAACAACTGATCACTTCCGTTTCTGAAAAACAAAAAAAGTCCATGGCAAATATCGAGATCAGATGTGACATACTGAACTTCCAGATAAAAGAGCAAGAAAAGAAATCCGCTAAGGAGAAAATAGAAGACTCAAAACGTTTGTCTGAATTCACAACCCAGTTTAATTCACAAGTTCAACAACTTGACAAAAAAATTCAAACAGAAACAAAGAATGTGCATGATCAATATAATACTGTAAGGTATGATATTCTGTTGATCAAAGATTCAAATCAAGCTAGGGATTCTAAGCTCACGGAACTCGATCAGGATCAAAAGACTTTGAAAAGTAAGTATAAACTAAGCTCTTGAGCCTCACATGTCAATAAAACAGATGACAAGTAGTTTGCTAGATTTTGTGACTTTTAAAATACTAAGTAAAAGTATGTTTAAGTGTGTTTCCATTGAATTTTATGTTCGCTTGCTTGTATCAGTTACCATAGTTGTTTCAACTCTGCTAAGTTTAACAGACGCAGGTCCTGAATTCAAACTGGGGGCTTCAAATTAGAAATTACCTACGTTGTCGCCCAGCCAATCCATCATATTGAAAGACCACTAAGTTTGATTAAAATGAGTAAAAAATTGTTACAGAAATAGTAAATGTCTGTTTTGGATCAGATGTTGTATTAAGTAGATTAAAGAACAGTAAACCATATTTGAACAACATTGCTAGTGCTTATATACAATTCTTTCTTTAGTAGGTTCGAATTAAAACAACTACGAATATAAGCCGTGCTATTGAGGAACCATCATATCAAGTGGTTTATAGACGTTGTTTGCTAATTGACGACTTACACATTTATACTTCACTGATATTAGTAATGATATTTTCCTGTCAATTCTAGGTTCGGTGAACGATCTTCTTTCGCAAGTCAAGGATGTTAGAAAAGAAGCAGTATACATCAAACAGAAACAAGCAAATATTTTAGATCAGTTCTCTTCCATATCAGAGAAGCAAAGCAAGTCCATTTCGAGTATTAATATAACATGTGACAAACTAGAAAACAAAATAAAAGAGCATGACAAGAAGTTTGATGATACGAATACAGCAGTCGCAAAACAAATCTCTGAAACATCAGTCAAAGTTGATGCACAACTAAAACAATTTGACAAAAGAGTAACAACAGAAATACTGTGTGTGCGTGACGAAATAAAAAATCTCAGTTATGATAATCTGTCGCTAAATGATAGCATGTCAATCAATAACTCTAAGCTCGCTGAGCTAACTAAAAAAAATGATGACCTATTAGGTCAGATTGAAAGCCTGATTGTTGAATCAGACGAGCTGAACAAAACGATCCGGGACCTGGATAGCAGATGTTTGCAAGACAAAAAGGCTTTGCAAGGTAGGGTTTAACGTTTTAATTGTGATGATTACGGAATAGAATGGTGGGAATTGTGTGTGGGTAATTGCACACAGAACACAAAACACCCCCTTCCCCAAAAAATAACACAATGAGTAGGAGTAAGTCTCTTTATATATGAATTGAATAAAACGGTAATATATTTTAAAGTATGCGAGCGATGTTGTCAGTTGATGATAGTATGTCTGTGTTAAAAATATAATATTCTTGCCATCCATCAAACTAAAACACATTTAATACATAAAGTTTAACTTAAATTGCGATCACATAAATTTAAATTTTCTAATTTTATTAATGTGTTAATTTATTTTTCTGACTATGTTTTAAACGTAATACTTTAATTAAAAACATCTATACTAGATGTAATTTTACTAGAGTATATTTTTTTTAAGTCACAATGACAGATAAAAAAGAATTTAACTGAACTTTAATACAGCCATAAAATTGTGCATAATCTTGAGAGTCAATGGTAGTGGCTTACTTATTCTTTTAAACTCTAGACGCTGTATTTGAAAATGAATCAAAGATCTGTAATTTGGGAAAATGTAACATTGAGTCCAAACAGAAGCAGACGACAATGGAAGAGCAGATAACGTTCATGTACTGTAGACTGCAACAAGACGGAGTTAACTTCCAGCAGTTCCGAGATTCAGCAAACCGTTGGTTGTTGAATGTCAAGGTCACGTGTGACACTCTGGAAGACAAGATGACTGCCCAGGGTAAAAACGTAGAAGAGCTCAAGACAAAGCACCAAGTTCTGTCCAAATCAATGTTAGACAGTGCCGCTGTAATGACGTCCCACCGGAAAAGGTTGGACGAGGTAATAAGAAGAGAAACACAGAGCAGATCTACTGAAATAAACAACATGCGACTTGAAGTGCAGGCAATAGAAAAAGAGCATCAAAAAGGCAACTCGAAAATAGTTGACCTGTACCTGAAGATGAACGCGCAAGATAGCAAACTGAAAAGCCTGCGTGATGACATAGATAGCTTGGATTCTGCAAGAAAAAAATTGGAACAGTGCAGTAAGCAGGCCCAGTCTACACTACAAGGTTAGCATGTATTTCTTCTTTAATTACCGGCAGGGCAGCATAAGCAAGTGCATTTTTAATGCAATGTTTACCTTGACATTAGAAATGGATTCACAAATATTTCCTTCATACATAAACGTTAGTTTATATTTAAACTGGACTAAAATATATTATTCTGTCCAGAACGTTTTACAAACAGTTGTGTTGTGCTCGGTTTCGAATTTGCTTGTAGTCATTTATGTTTTTGTTTTCAAAAATCACTAACAATAGTTAAAAATTATCGTCGATCAAAGATTGCTAAATGATTGATGAAAATATTGTAAATTGGCCATTGAGGCAGCGTGTTTTAAACTTTTGCATAGCAGTTATTAGTATGGTGGCCACCGAGTTGACGAAAATTATTCTATCATATAGATAAAATTCGTGTTTTTCTTTTAATTTTGACTTAATGGTGGCCGTAAGAAAAAAAATACAACTTAATCCTTACAATAATTAAAAAAATAAAATATATTTTAGTGATCAATGTTATAAACATTGCAAATCCAGAGAACTTGAAAATAATTTTTTGTGTTTAAGGCTACATTTCTATTTAATTTCATCAAGCCTTATTTATAACCGGATTTTTCACTTTCGTAAGACAAACATTGATTGGCTGTACAGGAGCTCCGTGATCGATAGTAATTTGTTCATAAAACATTGCAGACAAAGCTTTTAAATAACACTAGACTTACCCGGTCATCCCTTGGATAACTGTGGTTTCGGGGGTCATCCATGAATGACATCACGTCTGTCACTTATCATCAAAAAATAACCAGACCCCACATTGAAAAAGATGTTATTTATCTTTTAGAAACACCGATTTCGGCTGAGCATAAATCTGACCACACTATCCTTTCATATACTGACCTTACAGGAGACCTACTCAACTCTACTTCACCTGCCCAGTGTCCTGCCAAGTCTCAGACAACCTGATTTTATCGTTTAAAAACACGATTCCGGCCTAGCATGTCTCTGACCACACTATCCCTTCATATGCTAGGACAAAGAAACAGATGAATTCTACTTCACCTGCCCTGTATCCTGCCAAGTTCATATAGGCAACTTTATCATTCACATCTAAAAAAAAAACAAATTGAATTTTTTTTTTAACATTGACGTGATGTGTCTAAAACCCGTGCCACCCGCATGAAAGCCTATTACACTAACAACTTAGCTATTTAGACTCGTGACGTCACTGATGTTTTTTTTTGTGCTATACAATAATACATTGAATCTCCTTATGCAACTTGATTTACGCGCAAAGGCCATATCTCTAGATCTAGATCTAAGTCTAGTATTTTTCAAATTAAATTTTATCTTAAAGTAGCCAATTCCATAGCTAAACAAAGATTATATAAAATGATAAAGGTCTGAAATAGTTTAGTAAATAGAAACTCATTATTAAATCTAGATAGAATTATCTATATTCTACGACTGGTTTGCTTAAGTCTAGTTTTTGCGTAGCTCTTGCTAGATCTAGACTAGACATATTCTAGATCTAGATAGATAAATCACAAAGATTTATATCAAGTATTTATGGACTAAAGTAGTTTAATAAAGAAACTCAAAAATGTATTATGATTTTAAAATGGATTGTATTTTTAACTAATTAATCTTTGGTTTCTTTCTTGGCCACCTGATATTTAGATCTATAAATAATTTAGATCTATAAATAACTTTCTTGGACATATCTTAGAGCTAGAGAAATTTATTGTAAAACTAAATGAAAAAGAGAGTTGAAAATTGATATAAGTGTTGGAACGTAATAAAAACAGCAAACGGACGTATTGTTAAAGTTATGGCCGACAGAAAATTAGCTTTAGAACGCGTTAAACTTTTGAATGGGCCACTAAGTCTATGATGGAAGCCGCCATTTTATTGTACTAAAAAGTAAACAAATCATGTAACGTCACTATTCAGTCTAGGTAAAGCGATTGATTGAAAAATTTAAAATTAATGTGGTTAATCTACCAATGAATAAATCAATAAATTAATTAACGTCTTTAAATAAATTTGTGATGAACAGTCTGTCTGAAAACAAAAATTGTTCTCTACCTACATACTATTTTACAGTTCTGCATATAGCGTAGATCCTCTACAGTAGTCAATCAGACAAACAAAAAAATAAATATTCTAACATGTAAACAAACTTGAGTTTTAGTAGTATATACATAGATAGATAATGCTATTTTCAACCACGTGATCTAATTCTGCCATTTTGTTTACAATTTGTATGATAAAATTTATGCTAGCCTATCGAATATGATTGCTTATGTCGCCAATACCACGTGAAAACACATTTGTTTTGCTTTTACTGAAAATTATTTTTCATACATAAGCAAGAAGAAAAATAGGCTGAATATTAGATTGATATGTATTATTGTATAACTTCATATTTTTACTAAAATTTAAGCTGTGTAAATTTGATCGCTAACAGTGCGTAAAAAGCCTCAGCGCTTATTAAAGTGAAGAAAAATTAAAACAACAGATGTAAGTTCAGGTTTGCCTAATAACCAAATTACTGATATATTTATAATAAGCAGATATTTAAAATTAATCAATAACATTTAAGAAAACTAAAGAAGAAACTATAGGAAACTGGATAAGTGAACACTGCTTCTTAGGCTTTAGCAAACTCGATTAACATCTGTCTTGTTGAAATATTTTAAATTTGGGTATTTCTATAAATATACTGCCCCATTATCACGATAAAGTATGACAAAAGAAAACGAAATATTCAACTGATTGGTAATAAAAGGAAACTTTGAGATGACAGGATTACAAATTAAATATATTTTAATGAAACATATAATAAATTAAATGACAATTTTAAACTATATTAAAATGTTCAGCATCTATATATATAAAATTATCTTCTTGTAGACGCCAGAAAGCAAGCTGTAAGAGCGCTCCCTACCACCCCACCCCTACATGGTCTGGTGAGCTTTGGTTCACTCTAAATGTTTACAATCGTGTAGCCGGGTTTAGTGACGGCTACTAGGGGCAGATAATTTAGTTTGAAACTATTTTAAACTTAGGGGAGGTAACTAAGAGGAGGCTGCTTTCATGGGGGGTAGGGGTATAGGGTAGGGGTTGGTGGAAAGAGGGTGGGGGTAGTATTGTCCTTAACTACTTACTGGTAGTGTTTTAAAGCAAATATTTTCAGTGGCAGCATTGGTACTGTCGAATTAACAATCTATGAATTACTGAAAAGTAGAAAATAAAACAACTAAATAGCGGCGTATGATATGCCGCGGGTCGGCTAGTAAATTATAATTATATAATTATGTGAAAATGTCGTAAGACTCTTATAATAATAATAATAACTTATAATAATTTTTTTGTTATCTGTTACTTTAAAGCAAAAGTGAACCAGTTGCTCTCAGAGACGGAGGAAACAAAAACAGCTATAGAGCAGTGCAAACAAGATACACAGGAAGTCAAGCAAGTTCAGACTGACATCAACAACGAGATCAGTGCCACTCGATCCAAACAATCGTATTTCCAAATCAAGGTTGACCAGCTTGTAACCAAAATTAACAAATGTGAGGAGAAGTGTAGGATGCTGTCGACTTAAATAAATATGTATGCCGTGTTTGTCAAGGGAACAGATGTCGACGGTATAGTTAAGGATGTGAGAAACGCATTTCAAGGACTGTACTCAAGATTTAAA